ATTCAAATTCAATTCAACGAAAAGATATTTTTAACTGCATAAATGAAAATGATGCACCAAATATATAAATGCCAGTAAGTGAAAAAAAAAAAAAAAAAAAAAAAAAAAAAAAAAAAAAAAAAAAACTAAATTCTGCAATTTATGTCAACAAAAGAAAATTATAAAAAGGAATTAATCAGATTTTAGAATTGAATAATAGTTAAGGCGAATCAAGATGTAAAATGAATTGTATTTAATTTAAATGCTGTTTATTAAGTTGAAGGCAAAACTACTGTTGCTAAAATGTTAAATTGCACATAATTTGCCAAATCACTCTTTCTGTACTTAGGTATTTTCATTTATTTTAATTGCTTCTGTAGTCTGAGAATAGATCTCATTATGAAAACCAAAACTGTTTTGCTTAACTTAATAAGATCCGAACTTTAAATAATGATAGGAAATGCGGTTTTTACTTACAAATATGTTGCTTCAACGAACTCAATCTCAATAACTTTCGGAAAAAAACATCAGTTGAAATAAAAAAATCTCCCCCAAAACTAGGAAAATAGTGTATCTGTTATAGAAGACGAAATACCAAATTATTTCGTTCCTTTAAAAAAGCCAGATGTAGTTCCTTGCGTAAAAGTAAGTCGCCTCAGCTGGATTGAACATATTATCCGTATGAACGATAATTATAATCTGAACGAATTTTTTTCATCTGAACCATTTAACACGATAAGAAGTGGAAGACCTAATCTTTGATCAATAGATGCAACGGAGGAGGATAATTTTATACTCCTGGTTACATAAAATTTGGAAAAGTTTAACAGCCAGTAGGAGTGGCTGAATTCAGAAGGCCTTGACCTACCCTGCACTGTCATGAAATGATTGGTGATCTAAAGTTAGAAAAGAACTTCTAAAATTAAAAACTGAATCTCATTTAGAGCATAAGAACCAAAACAGTTGTAGTCGGATATATGAAAAAATTGTCAAATGTTATAAATATTTCATTCTAAGGTTTGAGAGGAAAAATTCTTTAGACTAATGACAATACTTTTTTTTATATACTATACCAATAAGTATTTAGACATTCATACATATAACATAATTACTGTCTGGCCATGTTTTTTCTTAGCATGGACTCAGATCCTTGGTACAAATTCGTAGTAAATGACAATGGTAATGCTGATACTTACTGCACTATTTTGAATGACAGCGTATTTACTACGTTGTGGCAGTCTTACAGGTTAGACTCATATTACTTCCGGGACAACAACGATGGCTGTTAAGATGCTAGATCAACAATGGTTTGGTATGTCGATAATGGGGACCAAACCCAATATCTTGGGTAGCTCAGAGCCCAGATCTGAACTTTATCACGAATCTCTGGTAAGAGTAGGATTGCCAAATTGAAGGGGTGCAAAAACCGTCCAAAATCGGTGCAGAAACTTACCTGTCTTCTTCAAGCAGAGTTGAAGATAAAACTAGCTCTCATACAGAGACTCGTGGAAGAGAATACCACTAGCTATATCTTAAAAAAACTCGTGGAAGGAAATCTCTTTCTAATCTTCATCATACAAAGAATTGTGGAAAGAAATACAAACAGCCATAGTAAAGACTCAAGGAAGAAAATACATCCAGCTATCATATAAGGACTAGCAAAAGGAAATACCACTAGCTGTCATACAAAAATAAGCGGAATGTATGCATTGGTGGGTTGAGTTTGAAGCTGTCTCTGGCGGAAGTTTGATCAACTATTTAATATAAATTTTGTTTTTCGTTTATGTCATGGATGTTCAAATACTTATTAGCTGACAGTGTAGTATCAAAACTACTACACACTATTAATTTTCTTCTTTTGTCATTATCTGTTTTATTACATAATTACAGTGTATTATTACAATATAAAATTATTCTATTTTTTATTATAAAAATGTGCTTATGTTTTAGGTGATCAACAGCAAAACTGTACAACACCATGCTACACACCTATTAAGAAGCATGTATCGATTCATTTAGATTTCAAACGAGTGCCACTTATATTCAAACTGTTAGGATGAAGGTTGAGCTGAAATTTGGGACAAAATATTCTCGATCAAGAAAGGAAATTGAGAAGATATTTGTAGATTCACTCTGTGCATAGTTCAAAAAGAAATATGAACCAAAAAAAGAAACTCGAGTTGCATTATACTGAATAATGCATTAAAAAACATGGAATGTGTTTGAACTGTCAACAATGCATTAAAAAAAAGGAAGGACAAATCAGAGGACAGTGTGCAAAAAAAGGAAGGAAAAAAACGAACTACTCCAAATAACTTTTGATTTAATGATTGGATCTAGAAATCAATGTTAACGGTTCGAGCGGGTGACTTCCAATATGCTAATTAATTAATGCAAACGATATTTTAAAAAACGAAATCAGGTCCAAAAACGTACTTTCGCTATATAAACATATCTTTTTTTCGATGGATTCGGATTTCTGACCCCGAAAATATAGGAGGTAGCCGCAGTCAGGAAATATGGTACATGGATGAATGGCAAAGTAAGCAAAAAGTAAAATTTTACATTAAGGACATCAACTATTGAGTCCATACATCCCAAATTGGGATTACCCCCTATATTTTGGGGGTCAGAAATCCGAATATATCGAAAAAAGGTAGGTTTATTTAGAGAAAGTACGTTTTTGTCTTATTTCGTAAATTAAAGTATTGTCTGCACTAATTAATTAGCATATTTTAAGTCGTGCCCTCGAACCATTAAGATATAGTGCTAAAACTTAGAAATCCGATCATTAGATTAAAAAGTTATTCAAGGTGGTCCGTTTTTCTCTTCCACACTGCATACACGTTTTGTTTCAAATATTTTATAAGACAATAAGAATTAAGCTAAGGGAAAAGTTTTTTAGAGTTTTTGTTTCCTTTAAACTAATTTTTACCTAAACGAAAAAATTTATTGGTGCCCCAAAATTTACCGACAATTTTATATAAAAATTCAAGGAAAATGGAAGATTCGTTACAAATATAAATTTGCAAGTTTTAACTTTGGAAACGAGGGTGTGCTACTTAAGAAATTTCAAAATTAGTTTTAAAAAAAGGCACAGATGACCTAAGAAATTAAGAACAACTTTTTTTGTTGTGTGTCTGATTATTGGAACTGAAACATTTGAACAGGCATGAGTTAGATTTGCCCTTAGATTTCTCCAAGTTGTTTTTACAAATGGTGGCTATAATAGAAATATATAGCTTTTTTTTTCAATTTTCAGTGCCATCCTTTGAAGAAATCTAAAATTATTTTTAAAACTTGGTGATATTAAATTATAACTTCCTAAGTAGAATGCAGCAAATTTTTACATTCTTTTTAATTTTTTCTTTGATTTTTCCAATTGTTGTTTATTTTATTAAAAAATTGTGTATATTAGTTTCTGCTAAACAAATGCTCCATCAAATATTTGACAAAAAGAAAAAATAAAGAAAAGAAACTATGGTACATGCCTTTTTTAGGGATTGAGTTGAAATTTGATTTTAATATTTTACAAAAGCAAATTAAAATATTTTTTCAGTATTTATCCTGTACTTCGATATATTTCTTTTATTAAGAACGAAAGCTATGCTTGAAAAACAATGAAGATTTAAAAAAGAAATTGAGAAGGAACTATTTTTGATCAGAATGGTTTGAGGAAAGTTAAAGAATGTGAGAAATTCTATGAAAAATGTGATCTTAGGAGATTTTGAAATCAAATGTCTTATGCATTTTTGATAAATAATTAATAATTGTGTAACTATATGTTTAATTTATTATGAAATATTCTATTATTTTGTTTATCAAATTGTAGTTTTATTGTTATAGGGTCTGAGTATTTTTATTTTTCTATTATAACTGTAATGGTGTCATAAAATGAATAATTTGAAATGAATTTAGAATGTAATAAATTCAAAAACTTTTATTGTGATCTATAGGCATACTATTAAGGACTTTCCGCAGTTTTAGAAAATTATAGCAAAGGTAATATATTAATATTTTTATAAATTAACATTGGAAGAATTTTGTCAACCACTCCATGTTAATAGTTTGAACAGATAAGGTCAAACAGTCAAATCCTTATGCTTTTAAATTTTATAAATTTTTTTAAAATTTTTATTTGCTTTGAAATTTTTTGCTTAAGTTCACTACCACTGGAAAAAATATTTTGTAAAAACCTCAAATGTTGAAGGGTATGCCTATGGAGAACAATTGTGAAGAGTAAAAAAATTAATTCATAGATGTACACATTTGTAGAATAAAATGTATATGCTTAATTATTTTAACAAATTAAAAATTGTTAATATATCCTTAGAGTTAATATTTTTGCAAATAAAGTTAGAAATCTGCGAAATTTCAAAAAAGTTGATGACATATGTTTTATAAAAATAAAATGAAAAATTAAGTTTTTATTTCTACAGAAACTAAAAAATAATGCAATAAGTTCTCTAAAATCTGTGCTGATTTTAGAATTAAAAATAACAGTTCCCACAAAACAATTCTAATGATTAAAATTTAATTTTGTTATTGAAACACACACAATGCAATTCATTTTAAACATTTTTAATTAAAAAAAGTTTTTGTAAGTATGTATTAGGTTTAGTAGTAAGGTTTCGTAAGTTTTTAAAAGTTCACACTTTAGTAAATAATTCAATCCATCATATTTTTTACATTTTGTGACAGGTTGTAAGAAAACTATGAAAAGATTAAAAGTTTAATAAGTAAGCATATGAAAACATTAAAAGCTTAAATATTAAACATAAATTGTTATTGATTACACTTACATTTAATTCACTCTTTTAAATATATTAGCCCACATTTCTAGATATTAAGTTATCAATGAAAAAAAGTGAAAATGTAAACAATTAAAGAATTTGGAATTTTCAAAGTTTCTGGTCTTAGACTATGCAGATTTCAACAGTATTTGAACTTTTATGAAAATTTGTAGACATCAAAAAAGAAAAAAAAAATAAGAAATCAGGAAAAAAAGTAGATAATATCTATAGAATATATAAAAAAGTGTTTATTAGATAAATAAATTACAAGCATTAAGAACAAAATTATAGGCTATCAAACAATTTAAGTAATATAGAGAGTCAGCACTCGGGACACGAGAAATTTCTTCATCTCAAACATGACTTTTTTTAAACAAGTGATTTTTCAGAATCTTCAGCCCATTTTTTATCACACCAATCTGGTATATATTTATTTTGACGATACTGATCTTTTGTTATAGATCTTGATGGTACTGCTTCAGTTGCACCAAATGCAGAAGCTAAAAAATAAAGAAATTAATTAATTCATTAGGACTCACTATAATAAATAAAACTATTTTTACTGTATGAAAAAAAAATAATATACANGCCCATTTTTTATCACACCAATCTGGTATATATTTATTTTGACGATACTGATCTTTTGTTATAGATCTTGATGGTACTGCTTCAGTTGCACCAAATGCAGAAGCTAAAAAATAAAGAAATTAATTAATTCATTAGGACTCACTATAGTAAATAAACTTATTTTTACTGTATGGAAAAAAATAATATACTATAAAAACTGTATGTTTAATCTTTTTCAAGTATGCTTTCTCACTGTTATTATAGTACAAATGGCAAAAAATTTAAATCTTGCTTGAATTTTGGGACACTCATTATTATTATACACAAGTAACAAGTCAAAAATCGCTTTCAATAATATAGTCTGTCTATGGTAAGAACTCCCCTTGCCACTCGTCTGGAACAAATGCGGTGACTATGACTACAAGGTTTAACTATTTCAAGTAGGGTGTTGCATCAATTTCTTAGACAGGTTTGGGCTCTTGTCGACGTGAGAAAAATAATCAGGGGATGGAGAAGCCCCTTCCTTGAAATAAGCCATTTCAAAGCAGTAGGTGGTCTTTCATTTCTATAGTAGTAGGTGGCCTTAGACTTTGTGGCAAGGGGAGTTTTATCATGGCATTAATGCTTTACTTATACTTAAGTCAATTCAAAATTGTTTCTGATACATGCTCAACGACTGAAATATTTCATTAATTGAGGACTACTTTATGACAGATCTGAAAAAAGATCATAATAAGGAAATGATCTTGTTTTAAAAAAAGAATTCCAAAATATAGTTTTCAAAACAGCATAGCTGCCAACATTGGAGGAATAAAATAATTGAGATTTTACTAGAGACATCTTTTTTAGGCTACGAGTAAAGTTTTGATACATCATGCATAATCATGTAAGTCAAAAAGAGAAATTCAAAACTGGAAATAATATAAGCACTTATATTTAGCCGAGTAAAAAATATGTCTATAAATCCTAATCAAAAGAAGATTTTTCTAAACTGTTATTTATAATTACCTCAACTATTAAAACTCAACATACTGCAAATAGCACTATCCGTTGATGAATAAGATAAATATTTTTACCATCAGTTGATATTTTATTGCCAAAATTTAAAAACAATATTTTCTTCAACAAATACAGAGAAATTTGAGAATATACAGGTAAACAGGAGACAGTCATAAAATACCGGAGTCTTCATTAAAAAAACAGGAAACTTGGCAGATATGAAAACATTTCCCTCATTGAAGTTATAAGGGGAAGATTTACGTGTAAAATAGACAAAAGCATTTAAAAAAGCAAAATTCTTTTTTAAATAAAGAAAATGTAAAGAGAATTTACCTCCAAGCCATGCAACATAATTTTCTTTTGCTGGAGGAGTGTGAAGCTTGATTTCTTTGAGAGGTAATCGAGATGAATATTTAGGATCATCAAATAGCATTTTGACTTCTGTCAGCAAGGAATGTTTGAAGCCAGGGAGCATGGATGTTCCACCCATTATTATCACATTATTCGCTAGTTCTTTACGAGTATCTATAGGGCACTAAGGAGAAGAAAATTATAAGACTAAAATATAATTCTCTAATAAATATAATCTGAATTATGAGCAGTCAGTGTAGAGATTAAAAAAAAGTAATGATAATAATTTCAATCATAAGCAAATTTATTATCAAAATTTTTTTTTCGATAAAAATTTTCCTTGGAAAGAAAATTTAAACACATAGTAAATTACAAGATTTGGAAATACAGGAAACGTTACATTCTATAAAAGTATTTCAGTTTAATATTTTTTTTATTATTTATTTTAATTTGCACTTAATGAATTTGACAGCAATGAGCAATTTTAAATAAAAAAAGATCTTAGCACAAATTACGTTTCAAAACGTTTCAATTTTTTTTTCTTTTTACTCCACCCTTACAAATTCATAATGCATGTGTTATTAAAATGAAGGGTGACTTTTGAAGATTTATTTAACCCTTTGGAGATTTTTATTTAATAAAAATCAATTATCTAAATTAAAATTCTAAGTTGCAATACTTTTTTTGAATGTCAGTTAATGTATATTAAAAATGACAAGCATACATTTTTTAAAACCAATCTAAAAACTGTTGAATGAAATTCTAAATTTGAGAATAACCTTTATTTTTAAAAATTTAAATTTAAGGAATTCCATGAAGTTACAACATATGATTAAAGGAGAATATATTAATTCCTCAAAAAAGAGCAGTTTTGAATATTTTTACCATTTTGATGTGCATTTTCATGGGTAAGAAAAGGGTATTTTCAACAAAAAATAAATGAATATCACAAAAAATAATTATTTGCAGACTAGGTTATAAAAACAAATTATGTTTTATGCTAAAAATATTTGAATATTCGTTAATATAACATAAAATTCTATTATAATTGATGACTGTAAAGAATGCACACTAAACTGTCAATTTGAATAATCAATATCACCCAAAAAAAGTTCGATCAAAGAAATAAAAAATTTTGTTCTGTGATATAAAAAATGAGACTAAGAAATTTATAAGCTTCTTTTGAAGCCAATTTTCTTAAATATAAATTACTTTTTAAAACTGAAACATTAACTACAATAAGTCTATTAGTTTGACTACAAAAAAAGAAAGAAAAAGACCCTATTTTCTTTAAAAATTTTTTAACATACAAACAAAACTGAAAGAAGAGATTTTTTTTTCAAATACGATCAAATATACTTTTGTTAAATTTTGTTTCTTAATTAAAAACTGAAAGTTAAGATCTTATATTTTAATTTAGGTAGTTTTATTTGAAGACAAAATCACATACAAACACAAATATTTCATAATTAAATACAAATTAATTTATTACTAATACAATTTATTCTTCATGTAATTTTTTATAAATAGTAAAAAGAAAATTTTACTGATTTTAAATAGATAAAATAATTTAAATAAATATAAAATAATTACTCTTAATAGACAATCCAAAATCAATGTAGCTATTGATTTATCATCATCATCTGGTTCAAATAAGAGTTCAGCAGCCCATTCTCTGAAAATAACAATTATTAAGACAAAATACATGGATTAAGTACAAGTTTTAAAATTTACTTAATTTAAATTACTCCATGCATTTACTATAAATTATAATAAATTATTACCAAATGTTTGTTTAAAGGGTTTTTCTTCTGTTCTTAGTTTTTTAATTTAAAACGTTGTAGAGGTGAGAATCAAAAATGAGAATTTTATAAAATTAGAGCACTGCAAATTTTTTTTTAAAATCTAGGCTGAAGTTATCTAAAAATTGATTGATTTCTGCTCACATGCCAAGGTTGATAAATAAAAAAGATATTAATTGATTTTTACTTATTATGAAAAGCATTAAATGAAATAAAGAGAAAATACATTATGGTTCTCATTATGAGAATTGAGCTCTATTCTTCCAGGAAAATGTATCACAAATAACTGATGAAGGAAGATTTATCGCTGACTAAATGTATAACCACATTGAGAAAGACTCGAATTTTATCAATGTATAAAATCAGTCAGCTTTATTCAGAATTATATATTTTAGTCGATAGATATCTTTGCCTTAATATTTTCAAATTGAAATTATAATTTGAGTGAGGATAGCCTTTATGTTAAGAAGGTTTACGAGTAAGTGGGATGCAATTAATAAAAATCGCGTAACTCTTACAATTATGAATTTATAACATTTTAAAAAGTTTTTAATTTGATAAAACACATAATTTGCAACCAAACATCAAAATAATAAATATAGGCAAAGAAATTCTCACAAATTAAAGCTAACCTTAAAGTTCCAGGTACGGTCATCATTTTATCACTACTTAGAGGATATTTAACATCAGGTGGAGGATTAAGCACTTCCAACTAAAATATAAAAACATAAATATAAAATATGTCTTTGATAGTTTGACGGCTTCAATATTTTAATAAAAATTCACAAGCTTATATAAATCCCAGGTGTTAAGAAAATTTTGAACCCCAGTACAATATTAAAACAAATTAAGGACAAAAGTTATTAAATCTATCAAATTAAATTATACCAAACTTCGCACAAAGAAGCTAAGTACAGTAGAATCCCAATTAACTGATACTCTCGGAACCAGAGGTATGTCGGAAAATAGAAATCTCCAGATAATCGACACTTTTAAATCAGTGTTTCAATCTATAAACACTGAACTATGGGTAAAATTACTCAAAATAAGTAGTAGCTATGATGAAGTTTTAGAGAAAAAATATTTGTGCTTTATTTTTCGATTACAAATCACCATATTATATCATCAAAAATTTATGCACTTTTGATTTCTGTTAAATCATTCTCTATTAGTAGCCATATTTTGAATCAATCGTCCAAATAGAAATTTGATTACAACAGAAGTAACAGCAATGATTTTTTGTATCTTTTTATTGAGCATAAAAAAGGGTGTCAGTTAGCCGAAGTGATGCAGGCGTCAGATAATTCAGGGTTCTACTGTACTTCAATATAGTGTTTTAATTGAGACATAAATTAGGATAAAAACAAATTTCTCTCAACTTTAGGCTCACATATTTTTGTGTAGACATTGCATAAGTGAATGCCATAGTATCTTTATAGTAGGTAATTGCAACTCAATTCAAAAATTCACCCTGTTTGACTGAATTAATTAAAATTATTTTACAATGATTTGAAAAAGTAAGTAGTAAGTTATCAAATCATATAGTTTCAGAAGGATAATCCCATTTACTTTTTTTACATTTCAAAGCTTATCTTAGAAAGCCTAACATAAAATAAAAGAATACTCTCGTAAAGACTTGTAACTTAATAAGTTTAAAACTTTTATAAGGGAAATTTTTTTTTTTTTTTTGGTTGCAACAAAAAAAAAATTTGTTTGGTTGGTTGGTTATTATTTTTTTTGTTTTTTGGTTTGAGTTCAGCAGAAGATAAATTAAAAAAAAGCCAAATAAAATAAAACATAAAAATATAATAAATAAAGAAATAGGCTAAATTTTCATCAATCTTAGGTCTCAGCTGCAATAACTCCTCAAATGTTACCACAAAAAATCACATTATTTACAGTATTTACACAAAATCTGAAGCAAATATTTTAATTTGTGGCAAAGAAAAGAATTACCCAATATTTCTGAATGTAAGTTCATCCCTGTATAAGCCGAAGAGTACGTTTTTAATTTGAAAATTAACCCAAAATTCAAAACTTGTATTATAAGTCAATGTAAAAAAACAAGACCTGCTATGTTTGGAAAAAAAAATGTATGCGCTGGCTTGGAGCAATGGTAGAGCTAGTACCAGTTGAACGGTGGATAAAAGTTGTATGGACTTTCAAAATTCACAATTAGAAGATTAAAAAGTTATAGTATTCCTTTCAAATTGTTCTTTTTATGTGTTTCCTTTTCAATTTTTATATTTAGGCATTTTGTTTTTAACTATTATTTTACGTATTTTTATGTTTGTTTCGTGATATTTACTGAATATCGCTAATGCTCAACAAAGGAAGTATTTCTTTCGGAGAAGTTGTTTTTGAAAGTATTTCTCCTGTTATATATGGCGAAATAAGTATTTCCTCCTGTTATTCTTCAAAGTTAGTAGATTTGATTATAAGTTGAACCTCTAACTTTAACTTGATAAATTTTTCTAAAAATTCTTGGTTTATATTTGGAAATGTACGATGTGTCAATCTGAAGTGGAAAAAACAAACAAAAACATTTTATGCTTTTAAATGTGCCTATTTGATGAAATATAGTCATTGCAGAGCAGTGAAAATAATAAGTTTCTGTAATGAACACAAAACAAAATATTACCCCAGGATCAGGAGAAGCAGTGCCACCTTTCGTTCGGTTTCTATTTTCATGAGCTTGTAGAATTAAACCTCTAGAGCGGGGAGTTACAAAGCAAGTTCTCACTAAAAAATAAAGTGTTTCACCAATTAAATTTTTTTTAAAAATAGAAACAATATATTAAAGAATATTTATATACATAATTAAATGATGGTATTGAAAGATCCAATAAAATCGTTGATATGAAATTCTTACACCTCAAATGCATTAATCAGTCAATCAGAAATAGGAACATTATTAAATCAGAAATTATTGTTACTTTTATGAACCTTTTCAAATACGAGCTATAAATTATATAACATATTATATATTAGATAACAATATATTATATATACTATATAACATAAGAATGGAATGGTCTAACACAGTTTTCCATTGTTGTTGATATATTTTTATTAGTTAGAAAATCACATCAATTTCCACACATTTTTTTTGGTGTTTGTCGTGATAAAATTAATAAAAGTCATAAAGGCATCAGTTTTCAATAAGGATTTTGTATCTCTAACTTGCAATAGTTATTTTTCTTATCCTAATCATCTATTATTATATTTTTGAGATTATGATTGTTTTTTAAATTAAGAATTTAAAACTAAAAGTCGGCTTCGGTGGTCATATTTTTATTTTTATTTCCTTCGTTTTATTTATAGTTACTTTTTTCTGAAATTTCTGCTGCTTTTTAGCGCGCTTTTTTCAAAGAAGTTTTTTCTATTTAGAATTAAAAATATTTGTATTTTCTTTTAGTATTTAAAACTAAAAGAGCTGTTTCTTTATTATAATGCAATTCCCTGATATTAATTTAATACGTTAAATTATAAGATAAACTTGGTATCTAAATTTATTAAACCTTTTGCAACTAATATTTTTTGGTGAAAATTGCATTAATATAGTATAGAATTACAAAATGATTAAGAGATTCCATAAATTTCATGCAAAATATGATGCTCCCACAAATTCAATATATCAGTCTATTTCGTAAACTAAAATATTAACTTGCGATTGTGCACTCACCTGAGTTGTAATAACAATATACCTTTAATTTGAAAAGTCATTTAAAAAAATTATTGCTAAGAAAAACTATTTATGTTCATCAACTTAATTAAATCATTGGGGAAATGTTTAGAGATGGGAAGTGGGGGCACAAATAAAAACTAACAGAATTTTTTGTAGTACACTTATTTTAAGAGAATAATTTTGATTTTCGTAGAAAAATTGTTTTATATATATCAAGAAGCAATTATTGCAAAGCAATCGTAAGTGGTTGGTGAGCAGCAACGGTTAGGGGATTTAGCTCCTAGTTAAAGAATAAAGCGTTTACAAAATGAAGTTTTTATGCAAGTGAATATAATAAAAATTTAAGTGGCTTCGACAGGGTGACCTGTTCTCAGGGGGGAAAAATTCCCTGATTTTTCCAAACTAATTTCATCGAGTTTTCCTGATTTCTATAGCAAGTGGCATTATTTTTATTATTAATTTTTCAGTTTAGCCTTATTCTTATGATTAAAATCTAAAAATATATTACAAAACACTTATACTTGCAAATAAAATTGAAACTAAATAATTTTGACTCAAAAAAGGTACTACATAACCGATTGTTTAGGAAATAGTTATTAGTTTTAGGTTCCTAAAACAAATTTATTTTTCATAACGTTTAGTGCTTTAATTAAATTCCCTCATATTTCCCAAATTTTCTCAAATTGATAAAAACTTTCAAATTTTTCAATGTTCAGTGGCCATTCTGTTCTTATAGCACACATTTTTCATGGCAGATTTGTTGATTTTATTCCTTACTGGCATATTTGTAAACTTTGTTTATTAAAGAAATAATCATGTTCAGTATAGAAAAATTACTTTGCTTTAAAATGATAAAAACTTTCATTAAAATTGATTTATTGATGAATATATTGAGTGATTGATAATGATTAAATTATTTACATTTTAAAGTGAAGAGCTTTTTACAGTTTTTAGAAAGTCTTTTATTGAAGACTTGATAAACCATAAAGAAACATCTCAATAATTACAATATTAATCAGCTTTAGAATTCCACCAGTTCACAAATAAAATTTTTTAAAAAGAAAATATCAAAAAAATATATAATTTTGGAAATTCCCATAATGCAGAATGAGTAAACACTTAAAAGGGAAAAAATGTTTCTGAATCTGTTAGAGCCATTTTGAACATTAACATTTCATTTTAGTTAAACAAAATGCATGTTTACTGTTTAGTTTCGCTATAAAATTAGAGAAAGTCAGTAGTCAGTCAACAAAGATTATTCTCGCTAGCAAGTAAATTTTACTCAGTTGAACTTTTCAATTACAACAATGAATTCAATTTTTTATATCATAATTAAATTAGAGCAAAAAAATTGTCATTTGTGGGATGATTGCCGCAAAATTAGTTTGATAATTTACCTTTGATATCTTCAACAACTGATTCCTCTAGTGGATCTGAAAAGTATTTGAAGAAAAGTAATTAAATTAATAAATAAAGTTTTAAATCAAAAATAAAAACTTTTGTATAAAACATACCAGTTAGTCTTGTTTCTTCAGAGTTTTCACATTTTACAAGACCTTTTTTCTCCAATTCTTCTTTAATTCTCCTAAATATAGTTATTATAAATCAAAAACTATGAATTTCTTAGAACATTTTGTTCAAATTCTACACATATCAATTTAAATAAATTTTATATTTGAAGGCAATTTTTTTAAAATAATTTACAAATATACCAATACATTTAGCTGTTTCGCAATTATATGAAAATTTCATATTTTACATTAAAGAAAATATAAAATAACAAGGCTAATAATACGGAGCCCAAATTAACTTTAAAAAATACCTACAATGATGAATAATTTATAATAGAACGGAAATATGGATCATTAAACAGATTTTAATAATAATAAAAATAAACATAATAATAATAATAAATAAACACAATACGTTGTATTTTCTTCAAAATCCACAAATTGAGAAAATTTTAACATCATTGCCACTTAACATTTAAAGATGTATTATTAATATATTATTGTAGATGTATTATTAATATATAAAATATTGTAATTTTAATTATATAAACATATTAACATTGTTTAATGCCATAAAATGAATTGTTGAAACTACAACCATTAAGTAAATATTTCTTTTTATTCTGTATGCAACTTATAAACATAATTTATTTTTTGATGTTTTTATATTTGTTAAAGTTATGTTGCTGAAAATATTCATTTTTGTACTTATCAAGGCAATTTTAAATTAAAAAAGTTTTAATTATAATAATTCTTAATGAATTCTGAATAAAATAGATTTTTTTACAATTAAAAAGAAGAACAAGCAATCAAATGAATTATTAATACACTATTATTGGAAATTTCTAATAACATTAAGTGCAAAAATATTCCTTGCAAAAACAGAGCTTTTATGGTGGGAAAATAAAAATTCTTGAACACTGCAAACAAGATATAGCATCAAATAACCATGAAACTTTTGAATGAGAGAGAAATTAAAGGTTTCAGAGGAAAAAATTATGAAAAAATTTTACTTGTGAATTAATTTCCCTCCAACAAGAAGACTTTCACAAGTGTTCAGTATAGGAACTCCAGCATAAATCGTTTTTATGTTAAGGCATACATTTGAATGCAAATTAACAAAAACTAACACTAGTTAATTTTAAATAATACTACAGGGAAAAGTATAACATTAAGTAAAAGATTAAGTTAACTACTAATTATATCTATCCTGGTACAAAATTTTGCAACCATAAAATATTATAGTAAACAAGTTTTTTAATTTTGATTTAGTATAATTTCACTAATGAAAAAATACCAATTGATAAAATGTTGATATTAAAAAAATAGATGCAAAACACAAGAGCAGAAAAAAACAATGAACATCTTTTTTGACACTATAAACAATAAATTGAATAAATAAAATTAAAAAAAATATTTGAACACTAAAGTACAATCTTAATGATGGTGGATATATTCTAAACAAAGCTTAAGTTATAAGTTTCGTATTCAACAATAATTAAAATTCTTAAGTGGTTAAATATTTTTGATTATTATTTTATAGTTAGCCATTAAAATTTATAGCTAACTATTTTAAGTTTATAGATAACTATTGCCCCTAATTGGCATTAACAAATTATTTATAGCAACCTTTTTCAGTTTATAGCTACCTAAAATTATGTTAATTTTTTGTATGTAAATTATTCACCAGTTGCATTTTGTAGATGAGAAAGATATTCTTCACTCTCAATACACAATAAATTCAAAATAGCTGTGAGCTAAGTATATAAGTTAGATTTACAGAAACATTAGGAAAATCCCGTACAGTTTAGATACACAGTCAAAAGAAAATGAAAACCAAATAATTTAGCAAAAGATACAGGAAGTACAGATGTTTCACTATAGCCAACGTCCATTACTAAAGCTGAAGAAATTCCCAGAGTAAATAGTGCCATCAAATGGGATGGAACATATACAAGAGATGGAATCTGCAATGGTAAATGTAGCTTTAAATTCAAGATGTCTCTGAATACGACAGTACTCAATTAGTGACTTCGATATTATTTATTAATGTCATATTTGCAGATCAAATGCATTCAACTCAATAAAAACTCACACAACTCAATAAAAAAAATCAAGAAGTTCTAGTAATTTAGTAAAATATTGAGTTAGATATTTATACATATAGAAATAACATAATTAGTTTCATCCATAGTACCCATTTTTCTAATTAGTAAAGATTTTTTAAATTTTTATTAAAAATTGAAATATGTGTAAATGGCCCAAAGAGTTATTTTAACAAAGATTATTAGAATTTTTATTAGTTTTAATAACTGAGTTATAGGCTTTTAAAGACAGAAAATATGACCTTTGTAAATAGTGGAATTACTCAATAAACTATGCAGCACATTATTTGATTTAATAGCATCGCTCTAATGATAATCTAATAAAACTTGGTCACATAAAACATACAAGAAAAAAGTAATTTAACACAACACTTTCTATTGAGTTCTTTGATTAATATCAATTTCACAGTGAGGCATTGTTTCTTGATTAAAAAATATTAAAATCTTTTTATTAAATAACTTGAAATATCACTGAATACAGAGCACAAAATTACATTCATTAAATCGTTAAGCAGGGTGTTGAATTTCGGCTTGCCATTGGCCACCTAATATTTAGGATTTATGAATAAGTTTTGTCTTGTAAAATGTTGCATTTCTAATCAAATTACCATAGAGTTGAGAGTTTCAGTTTACATGCTATACACCAGAAAGCAACGACAGCAAACCATATAAGCCATTCCTGTAAGAGTGTTTGACCCTAGGGTTGCAATTGACAAATAATATATAAGACATAAAATATAGAAAGTCTCGTTTACATGCTATACATCGGAAAGCAACTACAGCAAAACTTATAAACCTCTTTCTTAATAGAGCTTGATTCTAGGGTTGAAAATGACGAATGATATTTTAACCCCAAAATGTAGCAGTATACAGACATAAAGTGTTAAAAGTGTGGAAACTTTTATGAAATTTTTGTTATTTATTTTAATGACCTCTAATGGTATGTGAATTACACTGCAACAATTGCAACCTTATTTGAAGTTAATATTATTTTTTCCGCTAGTAAATATGTTTAAATTTTTTAGTTTCTTTATTACTTTATTATTGTGGTCATTACACCTGTTAACATTTTAAAACCTGATCAGTGGCAAGCAAAATTTTTAGTCTAGCAAGTACCTTAAGAACAGAAATTTCATACCTTGATTTAAAAGCCAAAAGTATTGTGCCAAGTAGAAAAGTAGCGAAGTCTTATCTTATACTCAAATATACATTAAACCAGAAAGATTAAAATGAATATGTAAACACAATGCATCATAATGAATAAGAAAGCATAATAAATGAACATGAAACATATTGAAAATCAAAACAATAACTATAAATATAATAATAAATATGCATGATAAACAAATATCAATAATTATGTGATTAAGACAATTTATATTTAAATGATAATTATCAGTTAAGTCATTAAAACATTTACTTAAAATTAAAAATTGCATTCATTTTATTTCCTTTTAAGTGTCTAGTTTCTTGGCAAAATTTGCACAAAAACTTCATGATATTTCCTAAAATAGGGTGACTTGGGGTAATTCCTGATCAAAAAATGCAAACATCTATTTTGTGAAAAAACTATTCCAGATAGAATTTTAATATTTATGGGAAGTTTGAGGCTATATGAAATGAGTCCTATGCCACTTTCTTTTGTTTGAAAATCTATTTAGAATTTAAAAGATTTTAAATTTTTAGTGATCAGGAATTACCCCTTCTCTTGATCCTTTCTGGGATAATTCCTGATCACTTCTGGGCTAATTATTGATCACCAGTTTTAATCATAAAGGGGCTGTTTAAAAATAATTATACAGTGGTAATTAACAAATAAGACATCAAGATCAAACAAATAAACCAAAAAGATATGTTTAACCAGCTAATAAAACGATTCATTTAAAAAGCAAGAATAAAGATTAACACTTTAAATTTTCCAAAAATCTTTGCATCATGTTATACATTTTAGGCAAGCAGATGTTCTGTTCATTCTCATGTTCTGTTTGAACACAAGAAAGAGTTCCCACATGGGTTTCGTTTGCTGGATTTTGTAACTTCATTAAGTGAGAGTGTAAAGTTAAGTAAGGTATGTCAACAGCTCTGGAAGCAGCTCTCACACTGAAATTCTCATTTTCAATCATTAAAAAAATTTCACTAATTTTCCTTTCTAGAAGCTTAGTATCCTTTTTAGGCTCATAATTACTCACCATATTTATATTAGGCTAATTTATAAACTTAAAAATTATTCTAACAATGTACACACATAAAATTAAGATAACAGCAAGGTTAGACAAACCAGAAATGGTGCAAATCAAAACATATTTGACTTGTACACAGTTAAAAACAAATTTTGTGATTACAGTTAAAATATATTTAATAGTTGTTCCACTTAATAAATATGAACTGGTATTTAAGAAAAGACAATCAGCTATTTATTAGCTATTTTTAGTATTATTTATAAAAAGAAATGACATAGACCAGGAATTACCCCATTGATCAATAATTACCCCATCTGTAAGGGCAACATTAGATATAGTTTCCTATAATCAATTATAATGTTTACAGTAAATGTGAAACAATTAAACAAAAGCTTACAATATTTTCATATCAAAGAAAAAGAAAGTAACTCAAAATATTTATTATTAAGAGAAGGAGGGGGATCTTTGCAGAAATGTGCATATTTTGAAACNATAAAATAAAAGGAAAACTTATTAATCTAAATCAAAACACTTGAAAATTATCGAACCGAAACGATAGTTAAAAAAGGCACTAGCATAAATATTAAAACCCGGAACAAGGCAAGATCAACAGAATTTCAAAATAAAAAAAAACCTAATGATAAAATTTATGAATAAAAAGAATTTATTGAGTGTGAAATTTATCGTGAAAAGAAAAAAAAATCAAACGCAGTGGAATCAGAAAAACAAAACTGTTTTTCTGATTCCACTACGTTTCATTTTTTTTTTAAAAAATTTTTTCTCCCATGTTTTTCGTAGGCCCCTGAATTTCGTAGGCCCTAGACACGTGCCTAGTGTGCCTATAGGTTAATCCGGCCCTGCTTGCCTCGTAATGTGGTGACTCAGGTTTGAATGCCAGCAATAGTTGGTTCATACAAATTCTGCACCTGATTCGCACTGACAGCTGTGTTGACGTAAAATGTCCTCAGTGGAAAAATGATTATCATGAGTTAAAATCCCCTTGCCATCAGGCTAACAGTAGAAATTATTGTGGTTTTCTTCTCCATGAAAGGCAAATGCCATATGCAGATTAGTTGCGTCAAAAATTCCTATATGAAGGTTAATTTGTTCAAATACTTGATACAGGAATTCTCTTTTTCTCTGGATTGAGTTCGAAATTACAAGGCTAGGGAGTTGAACTTCTGTAGTCATAAATTGAAATTGGGTCGGTGTTCAAAGATGGTTATTAAATAAAATAGGTTTTGACTGGAGATTTTTTTTGTCTAATGAATTGAAAAATATAACAAAAGATCCATAAGTTATATAATAACAAACTATAATTATTTGTCTATCATGTGTAATAAACAAATGAGAAATAAAATAATTACCTCAAAGTGAATGAACAGAACCTCTGCAAGAGTGTTTCTAAAAATAGTAGGGCATAGAACAGATTCAACAATAACAACACGCCTATCTTTTGGATTCACACATAAATAGCTGAAAAAATATTTATGAAAAATATTAAAAGAAAATACTATGGGTGTAATTAAAAATAAGCAAAGGAATTGAAACAGAAGCAACTAATTACCGAAAATATAGAGTGTGCAGAAATTCTTTTAAAATAATGAACAATTCCTTATCTGACTCATACTCCCAAACTTTAACAACCTGAAAAAAAATAAAAATATAAATCTACGTTAGTGCCGGGTGATATTGAACTGTAATATTATGATATGTTGCCCAACCAGGTTTTAAGAAGCCATTCTAAATAACTTTTAAGCAAAGAAAGAAGTCAACTATTTCTGACATTTTTATTTTGCGACCTAAAAAATAATAATTAAATAAAACACAGTTAAATTTACTAGGGTTTGATGACTTTGCATTAGCAAGTTTATTGCCAGTGAAATGGAAAAGTACCATTTTTTCTTCTAAAATAAAACTTAGAAAAAAAAATTTAAAAATATATAAAAAAATTTCTAAAAATGCCCATGTTTGAAAAACTCAACACAAAATTTAAAATTTTAATTTTTGTTCATAAATATTTCCTAATATATTCACTAAACATTTCAAGAAATGATCTTCACTATTCTAAGTTCTTCCACTGAGATATAGACAAAACATATAAAGTAAATTATTATAATACATTTTATGGCATTATTATTAAGGTTCCTCTAACGTAGCTTACATTGCGATTCTGTGGATGTTTCACTTCAGAAGGAATTATATACCTTGGTCCAGTTTCTCTAGCAAATCCAATCCTAAAAAAATAAAAATTTTATAATATAAGACAATATCTGATATCCCACCAAAAAATAACATTTACAAAATTGTATATAACAAGAAAGGATCCACCATACAAAAGATGGGTTCACTACTACGAGGAAGATTTCAGAATCACGGTAGTAGAGAGATGGCCTACTTTTTCCTTGAACCTCCCTACTTACAGGAAACAAATAGAGAAAGCTCCAATGCAAGGCTATAGTGCTTGGGAAAAAGAATAGTATACGTAGCCTATATATTTAATTTGGAAGAATGGACATGTTTACAAAAACTATACCTTAAAGTTTATTTGGTTTACGGACCATTGGTAGGCTTTATCAATGCATAACTGCTGAAAAGATTTAATTTTTTGAAATGGTCAACATATCTCCGAATCATAAAAACACCAAAAAGTTAATGTTTTCCAAAACATACAAGAAACTGCTTTCTGATCCCATGTAACAAGTTAAATAATTAAAAACGGGAAAATGGAAAGTATGAATCTTAATTTCATGCATTTCAAAGGAGCATAAATTACCAATATTCATAGTTTTTCTAGATATAAGACATAAACAAGAGTTTTTTATTTTTTATAATTCTACAAGATTATGGCCATTTTAAAAACATAAAAAATACTTTTGATCAAAATAAATGCACAACTCAAATATGGGAATAATTTCCATATTCGTACTTTATTGCGCCAACTTCAATCGTCTCACAGTTTTTACACTTGCTTAAAAAAAAAAGTGAAAGTTTGCCCATGATGTGGTTATAAGTTATACTATTTGAGCTTGTCCCTTGCTGTAATGATTTTTTTCTCAGTTTTAGAGAGCTACTGTCTAGATGTCATCAAAAATTGGGGATTATTTTAGAGTAGGTCAGGAAATCATGCTGATATATCAGAGTTCTTAACAGAAATTCGGATAGTGTATGCAAAAATTTTACAATATATAGGGATATAAAATTAAACAACAATGAGTAAAAAAAAAGTTCAATGCAGACTCTTCACCAAAAAACAGAATGATTTTTTGCATATTACATACATTATTTTTCATGCAACTTTATACATTAATTTTTTATTTATTTGGTGTATGGTCTGTTACCCGTATTCTGAATATTTCCTGAAGAGAGTGGGAAATTTCCTAGCAGTAAATGGGAATTTATTTTGAAAGTATTCATCTTTGATTCCGCTTACATTATGTTCACGTAGGTTCGTATAACAAAGCCTATTTATTCAATTTCAGTAAAGATGGTCATCAGCAAGGATGCGCAAAAATATTTTAATATTAACATATACATCGATTCATACAAAAGTGTTCTGAAGAATTGCATTTTGAATAATAAATTTAAGAAATTTATACTTAGTGTAAGCGGTTCCAATGTCTAGAATGACAGAATGTTTTTCAGCAACAGCAAGAGTTTCATACATAGGCATTGTGAATTTTAATAATAAAGTTCAGATGAAACAAATTTAAGCTAACAAGAGACGCCTTAATCAATAAACTTTAAGAGCAGAGCAAATTGGAGTTCATAACAAATGACAAATCCGAAACTTCATTACTGTTTACGTTCCAAACTCTCCATTTCTGTTCTCTAGAAGAATAAAAATTCAAGTTTACGGATATGGAAATTGCAGGAAAGTGAGGTGAGATTGCAGAGAAACAGGGGTCAAAAAGTAGATGGTGTGCCGGAAGTGACAGCGGAAAATAACTAAAATAAAAACGGCAAAGATATTTTGACAATAAACTTTTGACGAATGTCAACAAATTGTTTCATTATGTGAATTAGACTTTTCAGTTTATGTTTTTGTTTTTTTACTGTCTTAAAAAACATTATATATTATAATATTTTTATTTTAAGTGACAATGCACTTGCTAAACTTCATTTATGTATTAAAATTAGACCACACCAAACTTTTTGTAGCGTGAAAGATATTAATAACAATGTCTTTTTTTAGTAATTTTAAGAAAATTTTTAATATAGGGAATATTTCTGGTTTAGAAGGCAAACGAAAAAAAGTGTATAACAATATTCGATTCAGTGAAAATCCAGATGATTTCTGGGAATTAGTAGGAGAATTAGGAGATGGAGCCTTTGGTAAAGTATACAAGGTACGTTTGATTTTGATTTATTATTCATTCTATAATGTTAAATTATCAGATTTTCGTAAGTGGCTTTCAAATCTTTAATCACCAATTTTCATAATCGTGTCTAATTATTAATAGTTATATTTATAAAATGTTTTTTGTAATTACATATGTTTATTTATGATTCTTCAACTGAGTGAATAACATAGTAAAAATAAATTAATCGGAGAGATTTCCGTATCGTGATCTGTAGCAGAATAATCTCCAAGTCTTGGCAACTTCCTGGCAGCAGCCTGCGAGAAACCAAACAGAAACATCACAGAAGGGGACCAACTTGAAGGATATAACTTGTTGGATTGAAGGAAAACCTCGACATTATTTTTAAAAAAATATTTCCTGTTTAAAATCAATTTGGTGCCATGGCGATCGTAGTTGGCGGGGCAGATCGCGATATGGAAATATCTCCAATTAATCAACTAAACACAAATAAATAAAAGAAAATTTTGATGAGATAAACAAAGAAAATTTTAGATTCAAAATTATAGTTAAAGTCATCATATTAATCTGATACTATATTAGTAACATATTTTGTTTTCTGAATAATAGTGAAAGTTAACTTTAAAATGAAAATTTCGTTACTCTTTTGTTGTATACCTATAAATTTATGATAATTTGCTTTACAATCTAATAAGTATATTTGATTAAAATTATTTACTATAAATATTTTTATTATCTGCACAAATCAAAAAGATTAATTATACATTTCTAACTCATTTATTTTATTTTCAAATAAATCTAAATATTCATCACATTTTTTATAATCAAGGCATTATGTTATTGTAGGCCTATAATACTGTACTTTGTAGTTTTTGTGGTCTATTGCCTAAAAATGATTGTGCATCCCTGCAATAAATAGTTTTTACTCATCTCAACTTTCTTCAACTTAGATTATATAGATTTAATTGATTCATTAATTTATTGTCATTAGAAAAAATCTTTACTATCTGAAAATATATATATATATTTTATCATACCAGTGTAAATTTCTTACAATTTAGATATTTAACTTAAGAATTAAACTGTACAGTTGCCGTACATGAGATTTGTAGTTGAATCAATAAACTCCATGGTCTTGTAATTTTAAACTTAACTGAGAAAGCAAGAGAACTTCTAGATCAATCTTTGGATCAAACTTGCTCTTGCTGTGATCTTTATAAGTTAAAGTTGCCCATTCTTGTAATACATGGAAAGAAAAACCACTAAAATCTTCTGTGGTTAACCTGATGGTTATAGAATTCTCATCCTTGATCCATCTACCACTAGGGATCTAGTGTGTATGCACACTGTAGTGCAGTTGTTTCATGAAGGTACAGTATAAGAATTGATTAGCTAGCATATCACTTTTTACAAAAGCGAAAAAGAAAAAAAATGTGTATTTGTGATATTACTCTATCTATGAGGAAGATTGCAAATTGCTCATTTATTGGAGACCAAAGGTTATGTAATAAAAAATAATGAACTTGATGGGCATTGATAAAAGACTATATACAACGTATCCACGCACCTGGAAAGTCATGAAAAATCATGGAAAGTCATGAATTTCAGTATTGAACAAAATTTGTCATGAAATGTCATGATTTTTACTATCTTTCTTAAAAAAATCATGGAAAGTCATAAATTTAGGTCTCCGAAAAATCTAATTTTTAAAATGGAATCCCCCTCTCCAATTTCATCCTGTTCCAAATATCTGAATTCCTAACAAAATCACCACTCCCTCATATTTTATTAGAATATAAAATGATTTTATCATGTTCCTTAAAGATTATGATGTTCTTTCGAAAAATGAAATAAAAAAACATCATTTCTAGGGCGAATTGTCTTTTAAACTTCTGTGATTTAAGAATTTTTATTATTATTTTTTTTAATTTGATCAATTTAAAGTTCTAATTGAAGCAAACCAGTCATTGGTGAATTTTTTTTATTCCAAAATGAGAACAGAAAAATCAGGAGTATTTCTTTCCTTTCTCATGAACAAGAAAAGTATCTTTAGAATATAATTCTGCAGGAAAAAAAAGGGAAACAAAATGTTTGCTTTTGTATTTTTTTCAGCTATTTTATTGTTTCAACTCTTTCTTTACTCTGTTTTTAAAATCTATAAATATGAAGATGCAGAGTATAACAGTTTTCGCTATACCTATCATTTCGGAGAAAATAGTAGTTTTTGTCGCAGAAAATAGTAACTTCGTTTAGCCATGAAACATTCTTGAAACTAGTCATGGAAAATCATGAAATGTCATGAATTTGAAAATCTAAAATGTAGCCGATACCTTGTATATATTTTTAATGATGAGTGCTATTTGGATGAAGAATACACAAAGAAACATTAAACAAGCAACTTATAAAACTATTCATAAGCAATAAATGGTACTAAAATATCATGTAATAAGAAAAAGTAAATAAGTATTAACAATTAAAATATAGGTGGCATGCATATTTGTACCAGAATTATTAGATTATAGGCAGACCAAAAAAAAGTCATTAAGTTTTTAATTTTATTTTTTTATAAACCACTTAAAAAAAAAAACTCGCTAAAATTAATTAAAGCTGGCTTTTATTGAAACTAATATTTTTCAAAAACTCTAATAATATAAAAATGATATAATGTTATTTAATTGCTACATTGACATGATTGTGTTAAGAACAATGTGGAGCTTCAATTGTTTAAACAAAATATATTTATTATTTTGAATAAATTATGAACAGTTTTATAGAACATGCCTACTGTGCAAGATAACACAATTTTGAAAAAATAATTATCCTGAAGCATTTTAAAGCATAAGATTGAAATAGGTTTGGTTCAGTTTCAGACAAAAATTTCTGGTTTTGAAATAAATATTAAGCAGAAATCACATTATTAATTAACATTCAATCTATTTATGGAATAAATACCTTTAACATTAAGTAAAAATGAAATTTCAAGTTCTAAAAAAAGTCAAAATGGAAGCACGAAAAATATCCTTAAAATATATAAATATATGTTACCGTGAATGAGCGAAATCGGTGGTTGTTGATTTTCACCGGTGAATGTTGACAATCACATAGTCGCTTTGGTGAATGTCCGAAATATTTATTATATTCGATTTGATATGAATTTATTTGTGGATATAATTACATTTATTCGATATTTTAATACTTACTGACGATAGATT